GTTCCTTCTCACTCTTCAAACTTAGCTCACGAAGCCCGGTTGATCCTCCGATTACCCTTGCTCACCAATCAGACGTGTTGAGCAAAAGGATCTTCCTATTGCGCGACGAATCTGATTGGCCGAATATCAGGGTCCGAAGGATCAACATGGCTTCCCTTGAGCACCCCTCGCTGAACCTTCTCCTCGTACACTTCGACTTCCCCTCTGTCTTCTCCCCCATCTATCTCCTTTCTCGCAACTATAAATTCTGCAAGCGCGCCTGCAAAGCTCTCTTACGTTTTCCACTCGCAAGCCAGCTTCCGGGAAGCAGTGGCTAGGTAATGCGTTTGGTGCGAGTCGAAAAGTCATGTCGGACTGACTGTACACAGACCGGTTGCGCGCTTGATCGCCACGACGGACTGTGGGATCCGCGCGAGCCGAGTCGAGTCTGCGTCAGCGGGGTGACAATCGCAGTGGCGGAAGTTAGCACACGACGGTCGGGATCGTCGGTGCGGGTATGAGGATCTGTAATTGGAGTTGGGTGAATGATTGGCCTCGCGCCATATTGGAATTTCACGGCGAATGCGCCTTCATGATTGCGGATCATTTCTTTTGGTGTGAGTTCATGGCTGCAAAGTCGAATGCTACCTCGTTGAATTATGGTGTCTCATGCCTCGACTTTTCTCGTCTATCCCTCACATCTCTCTCTCTCTGACTTGAATGACGATGTATTACGAGTTTGTCTCTCCTGTGACCCAATGTGAACTCTTGTGACTCCCTGTGAAGGAGAACTTCTTCTGGAACTCTTCCATTAGTTTCCTGGGTAATCCTCGGATGTAAGGGAGCTCAATCCTCTTGTCTTGTGAACGGTGGATGCGCGGGTAATATCCCCCGATTTGTCTTAGATGCATCATCTGCATTTTTGTGCCTTCCATAGTGAATGTATACGTGAAAATTTTTGCATGTGAATTTTTGCGTTGATTAGACCCTGATCTCGATGGAATTTTGTTCGAGAATGCAAGAGTGTTTAGATCGGTCGACCTGACTGCACTGCGCATGCCATCTGCCTTATGCTGCACGACATCTGCAGACAGTCCATGGGGCAGCCTCGAAAAAGCCAGGCGCCTCGTGTTGTTGTTGATCTGGTCTGCCGAAACTGAGTCGCGGGTTGATCCCTCGAAACTCCAACCCGATCAATGCATGAATGCTTCCCTCGTGTCAAAAGGAAGGAAAATACTAGTTAGTTCTTTTTCGATTGTACCTTTTGATGACGGCTCGAGGGTTTTTGCAAACCCCTTTTGATTGACGGATATGTGGACTAACGGCCGCTCCTCGATCGGGCGCCAGCCTCCCGTATCTCCCTCGCCAACGCGCCCCTTCCCTTACGAGGAAAGGACACGTGTATGTGAGTGGGACGGGCGAGAAGCTGTCGCACGGATCGGCGGACAATATTACTTCCCTCTCGAAAATTGTTGTTCCGCGTTCGTGGATGCGGGCTTTGTCATTATTGATACGCACTTCCCACCCTACTCAGTACTGTTGCCATTTAACGAGCTGATTGTCATTCCGTGGACGGCAGTGGCGCCCCATTGGCCTCGAACTCTGTGCACTGAGTGCCAGCGTTTCGATCGCTACGAATCAAAGGGCTTCCACTACCGGATCCGGAGTGAAGACGAGCATAAGGAAAGAGCCACGCGGTTGAGGTCATCCACGTCCGACTCGGAATTGCCCAACGAGCGACGTCGGGACTTGATACGGAAACGGGATACGTGGAGTGTACCGAAGCCCTTCCACTCTAAACAAAGATCCGTAGCGCGGTGGGAAGCTCGATAATACTTTTTGGATTGAATCTGGATTTTTCTCTTTTCGCGCCGTGCCCGCGCGTGCATTCTGTGACGCGCAAAAGCAACCGACTTACTTCATTGGGCCAACACGTGGGATTTCAGTTTTGTCTGTGTCCCCACACTCAATTTTCCAAAAATCCTTGCCACACCCCATCTTGCTGTTTTTCTGGGCCCTCTTTCCGGACTCTTAACACTCCGAACGGAAGACAGCACAGGGCGTGAGGTTGCGCGTCACACCCAGGGTCACGGGGACTTTACTCCTAGTTGACCCCAAACTCTATCCCACCATCTCCACAACCAGAGTACTCGTGGGCACTATAGGAATATGTGTTTAATCGTTTCGGGTCGTTTCCTGGACGGGAACGTATTTGTCATAGCTTGCACCATGGGAGGGCACGCCCTTTTTGCTCCAGGGACGTTCTATCTACCAACCAGTTGTTTGTTGATAGGCAACTGTTTACACCAACCAAGATTTCCAAAAATTGACGAGTTCAGGGCGCAGTGAGATTCAGGGGGCCCGCCTTCACTTAGGGCGGGCACGCGCCTACTGCAGGGCCCTATGACAAGGCATAAACCCTCGCACCTCTCTCTCTCTCTCTCTCTCTCTCTCTCTCTCTCTCTCTCTCTCTCTCTCTCTCTCTCTCTCTGTGTGTGTGTGTGTGTGTGTGTGTGTGTGTGTGTGTGTGTGTGCGGGCTGAAAGGTGACCCATTTTCTAATGTAACTGGCCACCCTTATGCGCTACATTCGGTGCTGAAAGGTGGCCAGTTTCACCGGAAAACGACCGTAACAAAAAAGTGTGCCCAGGTGCACCAAAGATGCCTGCCACCCACCTCTCTGAGCTCTCTCTCTCTCTCTCTCTCTCTCTCTCTCTCTCTCTCTCTCTCTCTCTCTCGCTCGCTCGCTCGCTCGCTCGCTCGCTCGTTCGCTCGCGCACGTTTCTGTTATCTATACCGCAACGGGAATGGATCTTCCCGCGAAAGCGGGAAGATTCATTCCCGTTCTCGTTTTCAGAAACATGAGAGAGAGAG